GACTGCCAAGATTAAGCTGGTGCAAACATATGGAAGGACTCTGTTCCAGAGTGCATTTGTCGTTTGCCAAAGCTCAGACTCTGACATAGGATCGGGAACGTTGGAAACTCTGTCTCACGCGTCTGCCTCCGCCACCCGAAAGGAGAAGCGGCGATGGAAGATGTAGATCTGCAAACCGTATTGAGTAGTGTTTAAGAGCTCGGCCTTCAGCGAAGGAGAAGCGGCGATGGAAGATGAAGAAGATGAAGACCGTTAGCATGCTGATCAACCTAAAACGAGGGGGTGACCATTCGACTTTAAAAAATTAATTTGAGCCGTATCTCAGGCAGCAGTAACTGTAGTCCGGTGTCTTTGACATTTCCATGAATTTAGCTCCGCTTTGCATCTATATTATTTCATGAAATAATAGCTTAAAATTTCGCATCGTTCTATTCCTTTGTAAATGGTATAAAATCTGAGACAGCTCCAGTCACTTGTGGTTTATCAACATCTTTGTTTTTCAATGTAACTCATTGGCAGTTATGTGACTTAATGTTTTGCTGAAGGCATAGGAGACTGCAGGAAGACTCGCCTGTAGGGCAGCAGGGGACGGATATTAGTCTTTTTGTAGATGAAATCACACAAGCTGTGAAAATCTTGAAAAGTGAAAAGGCTTCTGGAATTGATGAAATCCACCCTGAAATGCTCAAAATAGATAAAAAAGGTATGTGCTGACTTAACTGTCTCTCAAACTGCAATTTCTATGGGTAAGATACCAGCGTAAGGAGAACACCGTTTATAATACCCCTGTTCGGAAAGGGAAACCATACGGTTGTGCTTCAGTTATCGGGGCATTACCATACTGAGCCTCCCGGGTAATGTCTAAGCAAGGTGTTCAAAAGGAGGTCAGCAGAATACTTGACTTGAGGATACCAGAAGAGGAATGTGGTTCAGGTCAGTCCGAAGCACCACTGACAGGATCTTCGTCCTATCCCAGATTGGTGTGAAATAGTGAGAATTGGTTCGTCTGGTTTACTTGTGCTTTTCGAACCTAAAGAAAGCCTATGCATGATTTGGCATAGCAGTCGATTGGCGTTGACAAACATCAGTCTGAGAGAGCTATCAGATGAAGTCAGAAACCTGTGCCTGACTTGATTGGATAGAAAGTCCCAAAAAGAGTATAGCTTATTAAGCGGCAGCCGACACGCTTGCAGACTGTACGAAACATGGTAACACTTCGTTGAGGCACACCCGCTTGCGAAAAATAATATGACGCTTGCTGCAGCAGTGAACGTTGTGTAATGTCAGTGTGAAGTGTACCATTTTTAGCGGTCGTACACATCATAAATGAACTGAGTTACTCTGCTTTGCTGTTGAAACTCTTTTAGCCTCAGATGACTATGAAAACAGTAATAATACTCCGTAATTTTCGCCTTAGACGGAAAAGAGATTCATTGGTACGGTTGATGACGGTCACTTGCGACTGAAATAGGGACTTTGTTGCGAGCTTCTTGAACGAATTTTTCTGCCTAAGGTTCGAAAATGTTCATTGTTGATCAACGCAAAAGACGACGTAGTCTAGTCAATGTTGGCCTGCAGTATTGAAATTTGAATGATCTTTGAATAACTTAATCTCTTCAGGGCGTATTCCTTCGTGGGTGACTTTACAAACAAGGATTTTGCGTCCAAGCTGGAAACCGGCAGTGTTTTCATGGTCGCTGACATTCGAAAACTTTCTCGTACGAGCTTCAACGCCATGCCTAAGTATCAGTGCATCAAAGTGTACGAGAAACGATTTTGATGCGCACACATTCATACACATCTCTTCGTCATGGCGAAACTTATATAAATTTTCCACAGATGGAAAAACTAATTTGATTACATCTTGACGATCTTTTATGCCTCTATCATTATGTTTACAGTGAAAGACCGGTAACAACTGAAACTTTAGTCCTGTGCCAAAGCAAAATTTTTATGTCGTGTGTAAATACATAATATAAATAAAACATTTTGTACTGCACTTCGTTTTACATAGTTTGAGGTAAATGTTTATGCATTCTTCCATATTGCGTTATCATCAGGGGAGTAGAATACTTGGCGTCTCGTTTTAGAAATTATTTAGCAGGTAGAATTTTAATTTGGAAATGTTATCGAAGAAAAGGCAAGCAGAGGGCCATTATCCGATATTGAAAAGGTAGCGTTTAGTCCAAAATGTAGACAGCACTGTATTTCATTACTTTTTTTCTTTCGGGCAAATACGAGCGGTGGACCTCTATTCTGACGGACACGTTTTTCCACAACAGTTTGGTCTTCCCTTCCACATAAAAACAAAATATATGCTTGTAATCACTCAACTATTGCGTCATTGTCATTTGGCCGTTCTATGGCTCACAGCAGCCTTAGTGACGAGGATGAATGAGTTACGCCTCATTGCATACCATCCTGTTCTCATAAATAATGACATTCCTGAGTGAAGTATTATTTTAGCTGCTCTTGACTGAGCGTAACCTTTTTCATTTTGGGCCTGCCCACAGACATGACCACTACGGGGTTTATTCGTTATAGTTAAAATATTTAGTCTGCATGACCTTTTGGATCGCATTCGATCCATCCTCAGGGGCTATGGTATTCACGTAGCGGTGATTATCAACAGGTTATCATGAAAGGTTTGTGTTGACCATTGTGTATTGATGATCTCTGCCGCTTGTCTAACACGGCCCCTGACAATGGATCGAGTGCGATTCAGATTTCGGGTAAGGCAAATTGTAGATATCTGCTTGCTGACTCATCAAATTCGCCTAGTCAGTGTTGGGGGAGGGACGTGGAGCCAAACAGGAAAACGTCGTCAGGTCGTCGCGTTGACGAGCAAGAAGGCGAAACCCTGATTCGGTAATTTGAGTTCATGTTTCTTTTCATTGTTTTCTTTTTATACGCTGTCTCATTGGAACAGTGAAAACGCAGAGCACGCTAGAACAGCCATGTTACTTTAATGCCAACATGCTTATAAATGGGATAGCCTAGGATAGCCCATTTTCTGATCGCCCGAACAGTGACAACCGCTTCCCAGCCATTACATGACCACCAGTGAGGATTTTATAATATTCTTCCGGAGCCTCGTTGGCTGATTGTTTCTGCGTTCACAACACGCCTTCATGGCTACCCTTGCATCTAAGAGGGAACAAGTTCTATCGTAATTCACCCTACCAAGTAATTTAATTTTTAGTATATTTT